CACATACTCAATTAATCTTTCTCATAAACCCATTCAATACCTAGTCCACTCATTGTATCAACAAGTAATTTATTCAATCGCTGGCAGACTGGTTCATTCTACTAAAAACGGATACATTCACTCAATTAGCCACTTACTCCTTCTCAATCCAGGACGAAGGGACTCAGTCCCTTAAACAATTACTCCAATGCGAAAAAAGTTGACTCACGAAGAATGTCTTCGTTTATAATTGCTGTGCTCACCTCCATTTCGAGTGAAAGTGCGTGAAAAGTTCAAAGGCCGATCGCCCCGGAAGACGAGGGTGCATTGCTCCTGTCCAGCCGACAATTGGCTTAACTGAAGCATCATTAGTAACGCTGTCACCAAGGCAATCTCCTTCAATTCCGTATGACGGAAATCATCGTGACAGGATATCATTCCTAGAACCATATTCTAGCTAGGGTTTTCTTGAGTACGGTTATAATAACGAAAGCCTGTGTCGAGTATGTTCGTCATACGACGGACAAAAGCTTAGCACATTTTCACCTGAATCGAAAGAGATTGTCTCTGGGACAGCAACAACAGGAATGCTCCACTAAAGCCAATCGGCAGGAGGACAAGAGGAATCTGCCATTGTCTCCTGGTGAAATCGACCTTCGAACCTCTTGCTCGCATACGTGGCCTAGAAATTAAAGTGAGCTCAACATTCACTGTTAAATTCCCATTGAATCTTACTCACTCTATTTATCACTAATTGGCTGAATCACTTAATCTTGACTCACACAATTACCCTTTCCAGTACTCATTCTCTCTCTCATTATCAAAATATCTTCCCTCCTTCATTCTTTCATTTTCTCATTCTTATCCTCCTCCCTTAAGAATTAAATCATCCGATAAATCGGTCTTTACCTGCATCCCTCTTTCATTAAATCTAGTACTTACTATAAGCAAAACATGCACACTCATCCACTCACTAGCTTTCTTACTAATATTGTCAAGTAATCGCACAGTTACTGATTAAAACGCTCCTTCGGTCACATGTTCAATCATCACCGCATTCATTAACTCATTTATTCTAACATTATATTGCTTACCCAGTCACTTATTCACTACATTATTAGCTCACTCTCACACTCATTCCCTTGTTCATTCCATCCCTCGCTCCTATTCTAACTCACTTGAGCAAACAGCCAATCTTTGACCGCCTTCATCACTCAACCAGTCTTTCATTTTCTCACCTCCTGTAAATAAGCAAAAAACCTTACTACTAATTCGTGATAGCTTGCTTTCCAAAGTGATAAAAAATCTGATTTTTCCAAAAATGAGTTTGGTTTGTTTGTGACTATATATGTCAAAACAGGCTGCTAGTGTGAGCCCACTCAATTTATGTAGAGAAGAAAATAAGATTAAAAACAATCTGCATTTTCTCAAAGAATGATCAAGTGCATCCGGTGTCAAAATAATGTTCACCCTAGCCCAGTAATGCTTCCAGCCTGTGGTAGAGCGCATTGAAGCAGTATCATAATGAGGTGAACTAGACCGAGACTTATGAGAATAAAATGACTACGAACTGGCAGAACCCTGTGAATTTCCAGTTACTAATGTCTCAGCTAAAAATACAGTTAATAAAGTTGACCACTAAGGCAAAGACGTGAAAATGCGGTAATCGTGCCTGGTAAAGCAACACTACACCGTGGATTTCGTGGTGCGTAAAGGTCGGATAGTCGAGTTGATCACTGTAAGTTGAAGAATATTCTTTGTTTTCGCCAATTAATTTTACTGTACTTCAGCCTATGGAAATGCTTTCCCGCCTAGAATGGACTGGATCCCTCGTCTATCAACGGCAGGGCACAAGCTTGCTCTAGATGGTGCAGTATTTTCAATTTAAGAGGGCAACTCGTGTTCAGTAGAGCAGAGAAATCTGTGCTCTTCCGGCCTCCGTACTGGGTAAGTGATAGTAAATTTGGCTTACTTCCATTC